AGGATTCCAAAGAGCCAGAGAATTAGTGTTTATCAGTGTTTGTTTATAAATACCATGTTTATTTAGATAGGCAGCATTGCCCTGCTTTGAAATAGTTAATTTTTTAACTTAGTTAAAATAGTTAAAAATAAAAAATAAATAACTGAACTAACTCCTCACCACCTCAGCCTTTTCAAAAACTGTCACACAGTAATTTTTTTAAGTGTCTCCAAAACAACACAACTAAACCATGAGATGACAGGTGCAAAGTCATTCAACAATCCTGTGTGTCTAGACACCCTAATTCCACCTCCTGCAGCTTGGTAGTTCTCAATGCCACTACAGGAAATCTTTATTGGTGCCCTATCCTATAATCCCAATGTATGAAAGTTATAGGAATTCCATATCCGGTGTGCCCTTCTGGCAAGGAGAAAAAAAGGAAAGGAGAGAATTTTTTTCATTTTAAATAGTTACACTTTTTTTTCCACTTTAAATAGTTACAGAAGAATCACTAATGGAGAAAATTAAAACACAGGCTTGCTCATATCACAGAAAACATCTTACAGAACCTCCAATAGAAAAAAATACAAGATAAGACTCTGAACAGATTTCAAAATGATGCTGATCTGCTACTGTTTAGAAGCAGCTGTGTAAAGAACTGCCAGTTTGCAAAAAATACAAAACTGAGTTTGGATAGAGACAATAATCACTAGTACACATAATCATCCCTTAGTGACCATAGTTAGGACCAGTAACTCGGTCACTAAGCAACATAGTCGCTAAGCAGAAAATCTCATGACTGCAACTGGGCTTACGACCTCACTTCCCCTTCAGTCGATAAGCGAAGCAATGGGGTCACTAGTGAAAAATCACAAGATGGTGACTTGCAATTTTACTTCCACCTTCCATATTGTACAGTATTAACTCTGCTTGTCACAAGTGAAAATGTGCACTGGTAGTAAAGTATGTGAATGGTGATTGCGTGACTGAGGGACACTGCGATGCTCGTAAATGTGTGCTGGTTGCAAAGCACGCGAATGGTGATCACGTGATTGCGGGACACTGCAATGGTCATAAATGCAAGGATTGGTTGCAAAGTTATTTTTTAGCACCGTCATAACTTCAAATGGTCGCTGCACAAGGCAGTCGGTAAGCAAGGACTACCTGTACAATAAATGAGACTTAAGAGAATAGATGGCTCTTGGAAAAGAAGTTACTTCTGTGCCAATCTGTTATCAAGAAAATCCTTCTTCCTGCAAATTCCAAATTTAATCAGAAGTTGGACAACAGTTTGAATTCTTTCCCCTTACCCCCACCCCAGGATAGAGCTTCTTGCTTGTCTCCCTCCTGCTGGAGAACTACTTTTTCAAAGGCAATTGTTTCCTATCTGGAAAGGTAAGGGTTGTGAGGATCCTTCTTTTGTAATGTGCTAAAATAAGTCTCTCTTCTTAAAAAGACCCTACTTGAGACACAGGGATGTATATTCCCTGTCCAAGAAGAAACTATCTTGTGAATGCTACATGGCATCACAAAAGTCTTTATTTTATAACTTCTCATACAAATCACAGTATTTTCTGATGTACTTTTTGAGGAAGTCTGCTTCAAGTACTTGAATTATACTTCTTTATCCCCCAAATACTATTTTTTTCTAAAAACATTCAATTGCCACAAAAATATACATCAAATAGACTGAATATACCTGTCAAGGTGTGCAAGTCTCCAACTTCATTCACTTCAGCAACTTCATTACACTCATCATCAAACAGATCAAAGATTGTTTGATTTCCTTCTTCCATTCTACTTTCTTCAGGAAAATCTTCCATTAAATCCACTTCTCCAGCTTCACCTGACTTTCCAGTAAAAAACATCTAACAGAAGGTATTTATTTACTATCTCTCTTATAATAAGAGCAATACACTATAATAAATATATGATAAATTTATATAACTGTGATTTTTATGAACTTAAGTTAACATCCATTTACCCCTCCCCTCCAAATACCCCTAGATAAAAGCTTGACAACATCTATCTTTTTGCTAAAATCTTGTTTCGGTTTAGAAGCTTCACTTCCATGTGTTCATTAAAGTTCGAATCTTGGTTGACTCCTTTTTACAATAAGGTTTCCATAAAACAGGGATGTTTGCTAAGAAAGTCATCTTAGAATGCAGTAATTAATCTTGTAATTTAAGTAAAACAACACAGTTTTTCACACTGATTTTGCTTGGTTGGGAAATTTACATAGGACCAAATCTACTACTACTTTCTACTATATCTTAATACCTAAAGCCAACATGAAACTAATATGACTACAGCTCAATAATTGTATGAAAATTAGTGGAATTTTTCATTTTGTTTTCTATAAAACTAGAATAAGCTATTTATAAGGATTTAAATTATTAACTTTTATACGCTGCATACTTTGTAACCAATTACTTGACGGTTGGTAGCAGAAGTATAGTTACTGTAATTGAGAAAATAGTCATAGGTGAGATTGTAACTGCAGTTTGTTAGTCAACCACTTGCCAGAGTTAAGTTAATTTTGTTTCTGAGAAGCAATGAAGTGGCAGTAGAGGAAATGCAGTTGTACAATTCCTAACAGAAATAGAGACATTGGATGTTGCCATTCAAGTTGTCCACAACATTTAACCTTCTGCCTTAAGTAGTGCTCTCTCTTGAGTAGAATGAACTTTAAAGTCTTTCCCTGCTCACATTATGCCCATGTAAGTGAAAGAGATGAATTGTAACAATGATGTACCTCTGCTCCCTACCATCTTTACAAGAGGTGTGCAGATAGAATGATGTAAGAGTAAAGAAAAAGTTGTGGAAAAGGGCAGGGAAAGTAAAAGTATTTTCCATTTGTTTAAGGAAAACAAGGGAATCACAATGTGCATACACCACATTGATTAGAATCAATTCTTCACCCCCGATTAACTGTACAAAAGATAAGGAATAGCATGTTCAGGACAATAAAAGTTGCACTGCGCATACATCTCTGGGAGGGGGAAAAAACCTCACATTGTATCTACTCACCAGATGTTTGCAGATACTTGCCAGATCATTCATCAGCTTTGATGTTAACAAATGCAAGAAGATGCTGGACAAACTCTTTTTGGGGCTATTCTGTTGGAACAGAGTAAGAATAAGAGATAAAGACAGCGCCCTCTCTCCTAAGGTTCCAGAAAACTTTGAAAACCTGGCTTTGGTCCCAGGCCTGGGGTTGATGTTTATGATTTGTTCAATGCCCTCTGCTTTGTTTTGTTAATTTTGGTGTCTATGATATTATTTTAGTCTGGACTGTCTATTTGATTTAATGTTTTTAGCGGTTTTTCATGTTTTCTCTAGTTTTGTACGCTGCCCAGAGTCCACTGGAGTTGGGCGGCCAATAGATTTAAATAAATAAATAAATAATAAACAGCAGAAGACATATTAATTATAAAATAATATCATGAAAAATTTGGCTTTTTGCACAGTAAAATAATCTGTAGGCACCTGCAACCAGTTCCCTGTTCATCCCCATTTATCTTGTAATTTAAATTCAGTGAGAAAAGAACATCATTTTCCTGTAAGATCAGTACCATGCTGACAATACTTAAAATTAGAGAACCTGATTAAATTTCCTTTAATGAACAGCAAATGTCCCAGGTAAAACGCAAATATCCCAAGTAAAATTACGCTGGATAAAGACTGTAAGTATTATTAAAAAGTAACTTTCAAACTGTATGATAAAACTTTAAATAAACTGCTACCTGAAAAGTAAGGACCATTTTCAAAATCAATCTCTTTTCTTTAAAGGCAGCACTGTCTACATTTCTAAAACATACCTACCCATTTTAAGTCTTGTAGAATCAGCAACTGAAGAAACAGTTCACAAAAGTCTCATTGTACACACTGAACTAATAAAATATTTTCAATATTATGTCAAACAATATTTCCTTATTTTTCTGCAAAATAACTGGGTATGTGTATATATATATGAACATTCATAAATAATTAAAATGAACAAATTGGTCTTAATAATAAGAGATCCTCACATGGAAACAACAGGCATAAATACAGAGATTTTAACTCTGCTCATACTCAGATTGCTCTACAACCAACAAATGTCTCACCTGGGTACAGTTGCATAAACAATTAGTGCACTGTATTATTAAATTCCTTAATGAAACAATTTTTGAATCTTCATTTAGCTTGTTTTTAGACTGAGAGATGCTTTCACCCACATAATTAAAAAAGGACTGTAAAGGAAGAAAATAAAATGATTTAAGAGGTTTCATTTCAAATATATAGATATATAAATACAGAGATAATGGATATATATTGCCCTTACTCCACTATATCCATCACCAAGTTTGAACCTGCTAAACAGAAGCAGCTACAATTGTTAATTTCCTGGTGATCACCCCTTCCGTGCTAAGTATATCCAAACTTTCTTAGCTTTTTTCAGCTAGATATTACTCATGCATGAATTTTCTGCATGTGAAATCACATTGCACAGGAAGATTGAAGTACAATGTCTTTGTGAAGCCACTGAGCTTTCAATTTGTACTTACTGCTGAAAGTTAAAATTAGTTCTTAACTGATTTGTCAATTCTATGACCAGCACCAAGAGGTTTTTTGAGAATAGTAAGTTGAATTAATTTATAAATTGCCTCTTTTAAAATACTGGCTCTTAAATGTTATAATAGATTGAACACTTTCCAAAGACAATGCAAGAATCAGGTTAACTCTTTATTCACTGCAAATTTAATTGATTATGTGCCATCAAGGCGATGTCGACTGTTTAGTGACCACATAGATAGATTTTCTCCATGATGGTCTATCTTTAACCTGGTCTTTCAGGTCTTCCAACAGTGCACTCATCACTGCTGTAACTGAGTCTTTTTACCTTGCTGCTCGTCATCCTCTTCTTCTCTTTCCTTCTACTTTTCCCAGCATTAAAGTCTTCTCCAGAGAACTAGGTTTTTGTATAATTACTCAATGCATGTACATCTACATTACTGAGAGTACTGGATGTATCAATTGGCAGTATGATTTTGGTGAGGAGTTAAGATTTCAGGCCACTGAGGATGCATTTGAAACAGGCTGGTTCACTTTTTCTTTAAGGTATCTAAAACCACATTTCCTCCCCTTCACACTACATTCTACTACAACATTCAGATAAGAGGTTGGAACTTTTATAAGAGGATGAAATTTCATTCATGGGCCATTGCAGACCATTCATGGACCATTGCAATGATTAAAGAGTAAATACTTATGTGCAAGATAAGCATGCATAAAATGTCCATATGAAGTACAGTCCCCTAAGTCCTGAGAGCTAAATTCTCTCAGGACTTAGGGGACTATACTTCATATGGACATTTTATGCATGCTTATCTTGCACATAAGTATTTACTCTTTAATCATTGCAATGGTCCATGAATGGTCTGCAATGGCCCATGAATGAAATTTCATCCTCTTATAAAAGTTCCAACCTCTTATCTGAATGTTGTAGTAGAATGTAGTGTGAAGGGGAGGAAA